CCGTCGTCCGTCGTGCGTCGTGCGTAAACTTTTACATTTTCAACTTCTTCTCAAGAACCTGTGGATGGATTTTTTTCAAACTTGGTCAGAATCATCCTTGGTAGATGAGGCTTCAAAATTGTAAAATTGAGATTCCTACCCCAACCCCTGGGGCCAGGGCGGGGCCCCAAAGGGAAAATTATCCAATATTTCAAAAATCTTCTTCTCCAGACTCCCAGGTACTACAGTGATTTTCTCTACGTGGAAAGAAAGATCATCAGGCGCTTTACTTAAATTGTAAATTTCAGGACCCCCAAGCTATCCGTTCTCCCTTGGGGAGGGGGTAAAGTTTACTATAGTTTATATAGGGAAATAACACTTTTGGGTATATTTTGACAACTTTCTGTAGGAAATTATTTTTACTTGGTGAGAATTATCCTTGGAGGTAGATGGTTTCAAATTGTAAAATTGAGATTCCTACCCCGACCCCTGGGGCCAGGGCGGGGCCCCAAAGGGAAAATTAATCAATATTTCAAAAATCTTCTTCTCCAGACTCAGAGGTACTACAGTGATTTTCTCTACGTGGAAAGAAAGATCATCAGGGGCTTTACTTAAATTGTAAATTTCAGGACCCCCGAGCTATCCGTTCTCCCTTGGGGAGGGGGTAAAGTTTACTATAGTTTATATAGGGAAATAACACTTTTGGGTATATTTTGACAACTTTCTGTAGGAAATTATTTTTACTTGGTGAGAATTATCCTTGGAGGTAGATGGTTTCAAATTGTAAAATTGAGATTCCTACCCCGACCCCTGGGGCCAGGGCGGGGCCCCAAAGGGAAAATTAATCAATATTTCAAAAATCTTCTTCTCCAGACTCAGAGGTACTACAGTGATTTTCTCTACGTGGAAAGAAAGATCATCAGGGGCTTTACTTAAATTGTAAATTTCAGGACCCCCGAGCTATCCGTTCTCCCTTGGGGAGGGGGTAAAGTTTACTATAGTTTATATAGGGAAATAACACTTTTGGGTATATTTTGACAACTTTCTGTAGGAAATTATTTTTACTTGGTGAGAATTATCCTTGGAGGTAGATGGTTTCAAATTGTAAAATTGAGATTCCTACCCCGACCCCTGGGGCCAGGGCGGGGCCCCAAAGGGAAAATTAATCAATATTTCAAAAATCTTCTTCTCCAGACTCAGAGGTACTACAGTGATTTTCTTTACGTGGAAAGAAAGATCATCAGGGGCTTTATTTAAATTGAAAATATCAGGACCCCGAGCTATCCGTTCTCCCTTGGGGAGGGGTTAACGTTTAATATAGTTTATATAGGGAAATAACACTTTTCGGTATATATTTTATCCATTTTCAGCAGAAAATTGCTCAAACTTAGTCAGAATCATCTTGGGTAAATGAGAGTTTTACTTTGTAAAATTAGGATTCCTGCCCCATCCCCAGGGGCTAGGGCGGGGCCCCAAAGGGAACATTTACCAATATTTTCAAATTCTTATCCATTGATGACATGACAAGTATTGTATTTCACTTAGTTTACATGCTGATTTCCACATCACATCTAAACAATAAAATAAAGCTACCAGTATCTATGATATAACTCAGGTGACCGCTAAGGCCCTTGGGCCTCTTGTTTGAATTTTTACAATCGAAAAGCAAATTTTGTAAACTTATTATAAATAATCTTGATAGCCCCAGGCGAAAATGTTCAGGGAGGTCTTAATGTGGGAGTAAACTTGAGCACCTAGACTAAAAAAACATATGCACCCTCCACTGTGCCTCCTGTCCACATGGCTATTTGATTTTGTGTTTTAGCCATTAGATTTTGAGTGATTGTTGCCTCCGAGTGTGAAACTATTAGAATTGTTTGTGATTTTGCTCTGTGATTGTAACCATTGAATGAGTGAGAACAAACCATCCAGACAGGTGGAAGGTGTAGGTGAACAACAGGGATACATTTGGCATACATTCTTGTGTTTAACTCAACCTGTTACATGATATATATGATTCAGATGTCCCTTGATTTACAGATGATATAGAATTGAATCCCAAATGACAGAACAGGGGTACACAGCAGTTAATAATCTTCAGGATTCAAGTAATTTGAGGTTCAAAATGTCAGAAGATGACGTTAGGGGTTTTGACAGAGCCGAGATCATCTGTAAGATGATATTGGTCGACGATTCCAGTATGTAACCTCTTCCAACATTATGTTAAGATGTATACATGGATTGCACGCTTAGAACCCTTGATTCCCCGTGCTCTTTTGTTACATCTGACAGTGGAGTGCTGGGGATCTGTACTAGCTTTAGTCCTACGATAAGGACGACAGGTAGTGTCTGTGGCTCCACAAAGCAATGCTTTACAGACTTAAACTCTTTGTAACTAAAAACATGAACAGAGTCTGAGATCAGGAACAGATACTATATGTAGGGTGTGGAGGAAGGTGGTATTGACTTGACATCAAATAACAATTGTATTAGCCTCATCATCTTACCAAGCCACTGATTCCATGTATTAGAATTCCATGTATTAGAATTCCATGTATTAGAATCTTTGAGCATAATTGTTTTTTTTAATTTACGTGAAAGTATTGTATTTATGGTCATTTCTTAAACAAGAATGAAGTTTGATGAAATGTCCTAATTCCACAAAATGTTTAGAATAAGAGGATGCATCAAGCTAACAATGCAGACAAACTTCCTGTTTGGGGAATTTCAAGTGGAATTTCATAACAGCATTATCTCAACATCACAGGCGCAGTGTTCACATAAAAATTCATGTTAGTTTTCATTTACAATACTGACTGGCTTTAGACATTGATCGTAGATGGGGTCTACTTCATACAGGTGCTTGCTAATTAATAGGAACTTCACTGATCCTTCAAACCCACTGTTAACTCAGATTATGTAGAGCACATTGAGGCAGTTGTCTGTGCCCTAATTTTAGCCACATGTACACACTTTACATGCACATCCCTGTCAGTCAAATTGGTGCTTAATATTCTTTTATCCTAAACATTCTGTTACATGTAAATTGAAGTAATATGGTACCAAATTATTTCTGTCTTGTTTATCTGAACTAGTTAGGTTTGATGAGTTTCTACTGCTGTATAAGTATATACAGTAAATATACATGTTTTAGTGGTAATCTTGTTTTATTATGAAAGAGCTAAATATTGAAGTGTCTATATATTGTTTTCCAATGAATACATTGTGGGTGCCCCATTTAAACCCATCAATGCACTAATCCGTTAATTATAATATGCACTAACATTTGACGGTGCTGAAGTAAGTTGTTTACGATGTAATGTAAACATAGAATATTTTACACAGGGGTATTCGCCCATGTTATTGGCAGAGGAATTGTCGGATCAGCATAAATTTCCCTACACATATGGTTCTCAAGGCATCCTATAATGTGAAAATCTTTGTGATTGATGATTGAAGTGAAATAGCCTTGGTGATTTTTGGTTAAACTGTCATGTCTTCAGTGATTGTCTTTAAACATGTATTGTCTTTAAACATGACTCTACAACGGAGATCTTGATGGTCTTTTGTTTTCTTGTGACATATACGGTATCCACATGTGACTGGTTTCCTATCAGTATTCAGTCAGTGCCCTGGTTAACAAGAGAAACACTTGGACAGAACCCTATATCCATAATTTGCGAATAAAATATTCTGACTGGCATCAACATTGGGGTCAGAATCTGAATTCTTTGGCCCCTGTATTGGACTACGTCCTGATAGTATTGATGAAATTTTCAGGACAGAAACAATCAAAGACGACTGATGGGCACATCAGATGTCTGTAATGATTCGACCTAGACTGCTACTCCACATTTTGGAGGGAATTGGCAATCATTTCTGTATTCATACTAATTGCGAATCTCTAATTTCTATACATTGTGTAGCTATTCCAGATACAAGTTATTTAGTTGTCCCCATTACTAAACCTCTATATATACATAATCTGTGTACAATATTAAGACAGGGCTATAGAGTTATTACTATGGTTTTATTTAGTGGATGGTTCTAGGGTCCTGGGCCCCTTGCCGGAATATACAACTGACAATGCAGTAAAACCTTGTAATACTGCCACCATTTGTCCAGATAATTATTGTCGATATAGAGGGGTTTGGTAATAAATTGAGGGAAACTTATAGAAGAATTCTTAAGAAAGAAAGAAAAAGAGAAAAATGGACAATGAAATATATTGATGTATACAAGGTAATTAGTAGAAATGGTTACATCAGGCTATAGGGATTGATCACAACTAATGAAGGGGCAGATTTCAAGGTATACAGAGGCTATATATATATAGGCAAAACATACACAAGGTACGGGTCCAAGGATTTCTCGAGGTTTTCAAAGGGAATGCCTCCAAGTCCAAACCTTACTCCAACCTAAACAATGTCATCAACTAAAAAAGAGTGACACCCAATTGACATGTATTACTCTGATGTAAATATCGATGAATCCTCCTTTAAAATTGATGATATGTTACAAAAATTGACAGTGATAAGCCATATGAACATTTGTCATTTTTCACAGTATTATATTTTCATTAACTTGTACTGTTTTACAAACTATACAGGATTTATTTATCTGTAACGGACTACCACTGACAATGCAGTAAACCCTTGTAATATTGTGCCACCATTTGTCCAGATAAATTTTGGCGTTATAGAGGGGTTTGGTGATTAATTGAAAGAAACTTTTAAAAGAATTCTTAAGAAATAGAAAGAGAAAAATGGACAGTGAAATATACTGGCAGTAAGTGAGGTGGCAAATGAAGCGAGGAGCATTATATAAAAGTTTTACCGTACATCGTAATTTACAATACGTATGTGTCCTCATTTGTATATGTCTGGCTCAATTTGATGAAATTTCATGTTCTGAAGCATCATGAAAGAGTGTAAAATCAGTTGAAAATAAATATGGAACATATGTAGATTTTGGTATATTCATTGAATGTAAATTTACAGAAGCCTTTTGATTTGTTGCAGTCATGGTAACCAAGTGTCATCATGGGTACCCCCTCTGGACAACTGGGACCCTGGAGCTCTGGGACTGCCTTATGGCTGGGAATGTGCAATGGACAAAAACGACAAGCCATACTACATCAAGTAAGTTACATTATATCTGACAGATCTAAAACACAGTATGGTAGATCTAGACCGAAGCAATGAACTTGATGCCAGCCAAATAGACTAGTGTGGTTAAGGTAGGCAGGGACCCATCGTGTATTGTTTAGACTAGCAAGGTTAACCCTTTCACCCCTATATAACTTAAGTAGACTCTACAATGCATTGATCTGGATGAATCCATTATGGTCTATAGTGGTGAAAGGGTTAAGGTTCGGCAGGGACCCTCGTGTATTGTTTACACTAGCAAGGTTAAGGTAGGCAGGGATCCAGTGTTTTGTTTAGACTAGCAAGGTTAAGGTAGGCAGGGATCCGGTGTTTTGTTTGGACTAGCAAGGTTAAGGTAGGCAGGGACCCTTGTTTATTGTTTGGACTCGTAAGGTTAAGGTAGGCAGGAACCCTCGTGTATTGTTTAGACTAGTAAGGTAAAAGTAGGCAGGGACCCTCGTGTATTGTGTAGACTAGTAAGGTTAAGGTAGGCAGGGACCCTCGTGTATTGTTTACACTAGCAAGGTTAAGGTAGGCAGGGATCCGGTGTTTTGTTTGGACTAGCAAGGTTAAGGTAGGCAGGGACCCTCGTGTATTGTTTAGACTAGCAAGGTAAAGGTAGGCAGGAACCCTCGTGTATTGTTTAGACTAGTAAGGTTAAGGTAGACAGGGACCCTCGTGTATTGTTTAGACTAGTAAGGTTAAGGTAGGCAGGGACCCTCGTGTATTGTTTAGACTAGTAAGGTTTAGGTAGACAGGGACCCTCGTGTATCGTTTAGACTAGTAAGGTTAAGGTAGGCAGGGACCCTCATGTTTTGTTTGGACTAGCAAAGTTAAGGTAGGCAGGGACCCGGGGTTTTGCTTTGACTAGCAAGGTTAAGGTAGGCAGAAACCCTGTGTTTTGTTTGGACTAGCAAGGTTAAGGTAGGCAGGGACCCTCGTGTATTGTTTAGACTAGCAAGGTAAAGGTAGACAGGGACCCTCGTGTATTGTTTAGACTAGCAAGGTAAAGGTAGACAGGGACCCTCGTGTATTGTTTAGACTAGTAAGGTTAAGGTAGGCAGGGACCCTCGTGTATTGTGTAGACTAGCAAGGTTAAGGTAGGCAGGGACCCTCATGTATTGTGTAGACTATCAAGGTTAAGGTAGACAGGGACCCTCGTGTATTGTTTAGACTAGCAAGGTAAAGGTAGGCAGGAACCCTCGTGTATTGTTTAGACTAGTAAGGTAAAAGAAGGCAGGGACCCTCGTGTATTGTTTAGACTAGCAAGGTTAAGGTAGACAGGGACCGTGTGTTTTGTTTGGACTTCAGTTATGGTTAAGGTAAGACCCTCATGTATTATTTAGACTACCATGGTTAAGGTAGGCACACTGGGCTAGCAGGGACACTCATTTCAGGCTCATCACTTCAGCAATCTCCTAAAATGTCAAGTTTTCCTAATTATTTCCAAGCAATGTTGTGAAAACATTTTGGATCAATAACAAGGTTAAGAAAGCTATTAGAACTTCTAGAATTACATGGCTTGCTTGAAAATGAACAATTTAACCTGCTCTGACAGCTTCCCCTCAGTTGTTAAATCCTAGGCTTTCAATGTTGTTTAACAGGATTAGACCACTTTGGTGGAAAGGAATGAAAGGATGGCACAATAGTTTGTTGTCATAGTAACGCATCAGACCAATTACACGACAGAAATTCAAATTTGGAATAAAGTTATATATGTGATTGCAATACTGGTATTTGAGTATTTCTAGCAAAACCAAGCCTGTCAGCACCTGTGCTAGAGGCTAACCGTTTCAACTGCTCTTTCTGCAGAGCAGAAATATTATAAGCTTCTCTGTTGAACTGATGAGGAGAGCAGAACTGTTAATATATGTTACAAATTTACAGTAAGTGTTCCCATAATTTTATCTAAATAAACCATACTGTATAACAAATATACTTTTCAGGTTCTTGGGTTTCTTCATTCTCCAAATAAAAAAATAAAAAAATGTTTGTGCATGAATTTATAGATAGGAATTGAAACAAAAACAGTTAAGAAATTTGTTCATGGCTTGTTTTCATGCATTTTACATTATAAAAAAAATAATGTCCACATCCATATAAAGTTCTTACCCAGATAGTGTGGTTGTCTTAAGAAAACGAATACATGTACAATCAAGTTAGAATATATTGATATTGTCACTATTATGAAAGTAAATTTCTGCAGATGAGTTATGTATTTCACCGAAATATGTTTGCTAAATTTTCCAGTATTTGGAACAGATATAAAATCCAAAAACAAAAACTGTAATTGTAGGAGTTGAGTTAAGGACCTATTCACATCGCTGATCCTACACTTAACAATGTGTTTCTGTCCAGGAATATCAGAGGGGGAGGGGAGGGGGGGTTGATATCTTGTAAGGATACCAGGGTCAAGGTCACCCGTACATTACAGAAATCTGTCAGTGATTTAGTGGTATCACTCCAGCTTCAGAGAATACCAGTTGTTTGGATGTGTTGTTGTTTCCTGGTTTTAAACCCAAGGCAATGGCCACCTTTAATGATATCAACAAACTCAGCATTACAGCTCTGGTGACTTCATTCTTTGAAAGGATTTTGATCAAACATAAAGGTCAATTTTGAAAATTCCTGTGATAAGTTCATGTTTCCAGGTGCCAAAGGTCAAGGCAGATGTCCCTGCTCTCAGGTGACTTCATTCCTTAAAACTTTTTAATAAAACTTAAAGACAAAGAATATAAATCAAGACATTCTCAAAAGTCAAACCAAATTCATCAACCATGATCATACCTTATGAAAGAGTTTGTTTTTCATGATGTCTAAGTTTCATTATGGCATGATCAGCATTTTGTTATATTTGTAGGAATGTCAAATATTAAAGTTTTTTTCGATAGGTGTTCATGTCTTACAGATATTTTTTGTTTTATTAGTTTGTGGACATATATATATATTCATTGATTTATTAACCAAAATTTAAAAGAAAAAACAAAGAAAATGAGTAAATTAACAGTATGATGAAATGAGGTCTATAAACAAACCCCCTATAGTATTTTGTTTAATACTTCCTAATGTAACTGAAACATTTATAAGGAATTGTCTGGGGATTGGATGGCTAAACAACTGGAGACACTGTACACTTAAGATTCTACAGAATCCACCCAGTGACAGACACATTGGCCGATGACCAGGAGACTATTTGTGACCCATGAGTGTTAGCCATGTCACTATGGTAACAGGTTTTAATGGAAACGTAGACAGTATCTATGTAACTAATTACCCTGTGTAATTACGATAGTCACACAAAACTGTTGGTCAGTCAACCCAGAAAAGGTTGAAGGTCGGTTGAGCTTGATGGATGAGAGGATTAACAACAACAGACAGTCTGAAGCTGACAATTGACTGTACGTTAGCGCTTCATGTCCTGGACTGTCCACACCGCTCACGCCCTGTCCTGGACTAGTACTGTCAACACTGCTCATGTCCTCGTGAGGTGACTCTGAAACACAGCTGCCAAAGATTTTATTTGTCCATCGGGTTGGGTTGCCTTTGGTTTCCAAAATTTAAGCCTAAGTTTTGTCCATGGGTGTATAACGTATGATATATGGTTTAAGTATGCATTTTTCTCCTAGTATTTAGTATTGTACTGTAACAGTCAAGCTATTTACATATGGTCTATTGGCCATTAATACATGGTTATTAACCAATGAAAAGTGTTGATGCATTGCTGATGTGGTTAAAACTTACTCAAATTGATACTGGTTAGCCGACTGCAAATGTTTCTACTATACCCATTGCAGTATAAACATATTCAAAAATGTTTTGTGTTACTTTTAAAAAGATAGCAGGATCTTTGAATCACGACTGGATGGTTAGTCACAAACAATACTGTGTCTATACCATTAAATGGGAGATGTATTTCTGTGCTATACTTCGGTATCATATGCTTGTTATAAATATACTAAGGTCACTTTTCGAATATTATGTGGGTCTCTTGGTCATGTTTGTATAGAAAGAAATTATTTCTACATTTAGGATGTCACACTTGTATTAGGAAGATTTTTGTTCAGATACACTGACTATCTTTAGCTCCATCTGCCCAACAGGTACATATATTGGACTGCTCATAGTAAATTAAGTCACAATATATCAGAAAACTGATATATCTCAATATTGTATCATGAAATGCTGAAATCTTAACCAATTACTATTGGTAACAATCAGTTGAAATTTCATGATTATTGGTTCATTGAAAATTTTCAAAAACAGTGTCACATCAATATATTCCTTTAAATTAAGCAACCATTTTTGAGGAAATATTTAAAAATTTCATGCAACAATATATCTATGATAGGGTTACACTTAGGATTGGTCAGGGGTGACCTGGTACAGAGACTTACATGATTCAGTGTTACCAATGGTCAGGGTGACCTGGTACAGAGACTTCAATGATTCAGTGTTACCACAGGTCAGGGTGACCTGGTACAGAGAGTTACAAGATTCAGTGTTACCACGGGTCAGGGGTGACCTGGGACAGAGAGTTACATGATTCAGTGTGACCACTTGTCAAGTGTGTCCTGGTACAGAGAGTTACACGATTCAGTGTTACCAGAGGTCAGGGGTGACCTGATACAGAGACTTACATAATTCAGTGTTACCACCGGTTAGGGGGGACCTGGAACAGAGAATTACATGATTCAGTGTTGCCAATGGTCAGGGTGGCCTGGTACAGAGACTCACATGATTCAGTGTTGCCAATGGTCAGGGTGACCTGGTACAGAGACTTACATGATTCAGTGTTACCACCGGTTAGGGGTGACCTGGAACAGAGACTTACATGATTCAGTGTTACCACCGGTCAGGGGTGACCTGGTACAGAGCCTTACATGATTCAGTGTTACCACTGGTCAGGGTGACCTGGAACAGAGACTTACATGATTCAGTGTTACCCCCGGTCAGGGGTGACCTGGTACAGAGACTTACATGATTCAGTGTTACCA